GTTGATTAACTCGGTTCATGCGATAGCATTTTCTTTGTCGTTCTCGTTGCGCGCATATTATCCGCGGCTCGATATCATCCAGTAATATACTTTTTACCCCGTTGAGAAACTGACACTGCCTACCGACGACCGTTTTCTCATTGCTTGTCTCACGATCTCTCTCTCTCTTTCTCTCTCTCTCTCTCTCTCTCTCTCTCTCTCTCTCTCTCTCTCTCTCTCTCTTTCTTTTTCCCATTCTCTGTCGAGGGCAACAATCCTTGCGTTCCTTCGCGGGAGGAGCGTTCGCGCGTTTCGAAGATGACTTTCAGCGAAAACAGGAAAAGGCGGGCGGAGAGAGAGAGAGAGAGAGAGAGAGAGACAAAGTGAGAAAGAAACGCCGGAGAGGGACGTCTCGAGTATAATCTATTATGCGGCGGAAGTCGCGTAGCGAGCACGGCTTGCGTGTCGTTTGCAAATTGCAATCGGGGGAACGTCTTCTTCGACGCGCCTTTGTTTCGTCGTTCGGGTACTCACAGTCGTGAGTCACAGGTGGAAAAAAAGAAGAAGAATACACCGCGCGTGTATTATACCGCCGCCGGTGACGACGACGGCCGCGGCGGCGGCGGCGGCGGCGGAAAAAGCCGCGAGAGAAAGGAAAACCAAATAAAAGCGATGCCAAGCATCGCCAGGCTCATTAGCATTTTTACGGTTGCTTCGCCTCGACGGTCTTGCCTCGTTTCGTCGCACCGACATCGGATTCATCTTATGTCTCCGCGAATCTCTCGGCACAATGGCACGAGTCCAAAGGTCAAGTACCTGCGACTTCCGGCCGGACATGGACCACGCGATGGTGACGTTTCGCTTTGTTGAGTCATCGAAGGCCATCGTTATTTCAGACAACCTTTTAATTAACGGGTCCGTTTGTGTTTCTTAGAGAGTTCTCGGATTGGTATATTAGAATTATTTTGATCGAAGACATAGGTGTAATTGAGGAAATCAGACGCTGAAATCGTCCAAATAAAATCACGTTGATCAAGTGAGTTCAAGTTTTTATCCGATGAAAGAGAAGCGTCTCGAATGAGTGAGATAATGAAGGTTAATAATAATACCGTGCGAGATGTCAAAGTACTCTCTGCAATTAATAGAAACGATCAACTAATCGAAATCCCACAACGTCATTCTCGCGAACGCAGAGGTCTGCGTCAAGGCCTCTTTTGTTCCTACTTGAGATGAGTACTTGAACTTTGCTCAAGAGCGAGTTCGACTCTTCGTTTCAAAGGGGCGGGGACCTCGTGAATAACCGCTATCTTTTTTCTCATCTCTCTCTCTCTCTCTCTCTCTCTCTCTCATCGTCCTCTCCTGCCGCTGTGGAATCCGCTATGCGGCGGGCGCCAAAAAGTCGAAATGAATCGCTCGGGAACGTGAAGTCACACCGCGGCCGAGTATGCCGCGGTCGTCGACCTCACAGATTCCAGGATCCTCTCGGGGTCCCGCCTCGATATATTTCCGCGTCTGGGCGCGGAACGATCGCGGCGGAGTCTCGGTGTCGTTGCGAGAGGAGGAGCGCATTAACTTCTCTCGCGTGCCGTTAATTGCCGCCGCTTCCCAGCGCGGATCGCCGGCCATCGTCCCGTTCGATTCAGTGGCACGGACGAAGGACGACACACTGCGCTCGACCACACGCTCAGGAAGCGTCAAACGTGACTCCTGCCTGATCCGCCTGCCGTGAGAATCGGGACTTCCGCAATTAATTATCCAGCCCGCCCGCGCCTCGCCTCGCCGATTTGCGCGCGCGAGTCGCGAACCGTCTCGGACCGGGGCGGCGGATTATCGAGCCGGTCGAAAAGTTTGGTTCGATCGATTGCAGGAAGCACTTTTCACACTTGGTCGCATTCCATAAAAGCAAATTGTTCGTTCGTCTATCGAGCTTATCGCGGTTGTCACCTACGATCATTCGCCATTCTCCTGTCAACGATATCGAACGTCCATCTTGATCGTAAGAGACGGCTGGTTCGTCTCCGTAGGAGAAGCAATGTCCGAGCTTTTTGATTATGAATCCGATGATTCCCATCGGCTAATCAATTCAATGCGATGCGATGGACGCAGCTCAGCGCGAGTGCATCCAGACGGTAACGAGAGAGCGGTGCGAGAGTCTCGACGCGACTGCAGTCTGCAAGTTCGCGACGAGAGTCAAGTTCACGACTCTCTCATCATTGTCTCGGCTGGCGCTGATAATGATAAGCCGCCGATGATTATTGTCATTACGACGCGCTCTCTCGCTCACACGAGAGCTCCTTCTTCTTCCCCGGATTCACTCTCTCGGGCGCGTTCCGTTCCGCGCTCCACTCTTACACTCTTACACGCGCGTGCTTGCGCGCGCGCGCGCGAGAACGGCTCTCGTCGGCTTTGGGCGGTTCTAATGAATTTTCCGGAGCAATAATCCGCGGCCTCGTTAGACACGATGAATGTGCGCGAGTTCCGTTTTAATTGTCTGCCACATAATGCTACATTCGGTCAATTGTATGCTCTTCCTTGCTGCTCCCGAGATGCGACGCGGACGGATTAATATATATTCCAAGCGCGTGAAATATATATATATATATATATAAGAAGGAGAGAAACAAGGAGAGGGGAGTGTCGAAAAAGGATCAAGGAAACATGCGCGTTAACGAGTTGCACGCACATGTTTCCTAATAATCGCGACGACGCGCGGAACTGATGTGTTATCGTCGCCGAGGATTTCATGAAATATTATAAGGTATAATAAGGTATAGAGATCTATTGAATTTTTATTGATTATTTACTCATTAATTTTTTTCACTCCCTACACTTGAAGATTCGATCGACAATCTGCCGACCGCAGGATGTTTTACTTTAGAAAAACGTTGAATACTGCGCGTTGAGAACGTCCGTGCGCCGCGCGTATGAAAAGCGCATGCGCGTGCGCGTGCGCGAGCAATCTGACGCTGCGGATTTTACGCGCATTACATTTAATTGCGGCTCTCGGCTGGCCGTATCGCAGTCATTCGCCAACTTGATGGACGGAATAGTAACGTCGTCGTGCGAGCGAGCGAAGTGATTTCACGCTGTGGAAGCAACACACACACACACACACACACACACACCGGTTTCGCTGAACGCACTTTTACGGCTAATTGGTCACAGGCGAACGGCCGCGAGCGCCATCGCGAGTTTCCATCGGCGTCGTGGAATTTCAGCGACAGGATATCGAGAGCGAGCGAGAAGAAGAGTCTCCGTGCGCACTTTCCACCGCAAATAACAATCCGCGGGACGGACGTCGAGATTATCGCGAGATGCCGCAACGCCATCTCGCACGGGACCATCAGGGATTAAATAACTCGAAGAGTTCTTACGTAAATGTAAGCGCGCCCGAAGGCGCGTTACGTACACACCTGCGCCCATTGTAATTAAATTATAATTTCACGGGGCTCCTCTTTGCTTCGCTGTTCGATCGTCGCAAGCGTACGTTATTATCATCGTGACAATCATGTGACAACGATAACGCATGAATAGTTATCATAGAAAAACAGCAGAGTCTCATTTATTATTTTTACTTTTAAACTTTCAAACGAACAACTTCAAGTTCAAGTTCACAGCTGTTCGCAGGCGCTACTTGTAATTTCGTTTCGTACGTTCGATAGATTGAGATTTAAGAAAGCAATAATTTTTTTCGCCTATCGTTATAACGCACATTACATACGATGAATCGATTCTCTAGTGACTCTCTTCGATTTATACTTTCTTCTATTTCTATGTGTGTGTTTGCGCGTCATTTTCTGTAGCATCAAACTAATAGATCGCCGTCCCGTTAACGAACTAGAATAATAATAATAATAATAATAATAATAATAATAATAATAATAATAATAATATTAATCGTAACAGTCGTCGCGGGGCGCGTTTCCGCCGCGAGCATATCCGCGAATCAACGATCAGTCAGCAGAAACCGATCCGCCGAAGACGGTCGACAGTTCTGTCCTGCAGCTGCAGGCTCCAAGCCGGATCCGGCGTTCGTTGCGAAAACGATTAAACGTAAAAAAGCGATACGTAGGTACGCGTCGTCCGTCCAAGCGCGACGCGATCTCGCAATCGGCGCGAGTTCTGCAGCGAGTTCTCTCTCGCGGTTTTGCCGCGGAGCTCGCCAAGTGTTATCGCGCGCGGCGCGCGTTACTCGCTTTCGTCTCGCCGCTGCGTCGTACTCGCCGAAGGATATATCCCCTTCGTCCTCTGACCTGCTTCCGGTGAACCGTGAACGGTCGAAACGCAATGATAGCTCGCCCATAACAATAACGCAGACCTCCTTACAGCGGAGGGAAATTTTGTCGCGCGACACGGTGGCGTGTTGTGTTATTATCCGCTCCATTATTATTGTTATTTTATCCACGGTGCTTTCGTGCTTTTCGAGGTGAAATTTCGCCGCGGACGGACGACGGATTCAGAGAGAGAGAGAGAGAGAGAGAGAGAGAGAGAGAGAGAGAGTCGCAAGTTGCGATCTCGCACGCCCACCTGGGTTATTAAACTCCCGACTTATTAACTCGGCGATTCGTCCGACGTGTCTGGCATTAGTAACGATAAATTACCGTACGGCGGCCGTACACAATGGCCGTGAGAGGTGTGCTGCTGCGGACTCATTCAATAGATACCGATTTGTATTGAGCCTCGCTGTTCATTCAGGTGTATCACGCGCGAATGAATCGGATGCGGATATCGCGCGGATCACGCGCGCGATGGACAGCTCACCGTTGTTCGCGCGCGCTCGCGCAAAAATATGCCTACGCCATTCGCATCTCATCGAATCACGCGATTCTCGACGCTTGATTCGCAATTTGATTTCGCAGAGATCCGAATCTACATCTATAATCGCTGTCGCCCGAGCTCGAATCCGCTACGTGCCGTAGCGATCCGCGTAGTTACTCGCGCAAAAGTCGCCGCCGCGGATCGGCGGCGGCGCGGAACTTTTGTCTAATTGTGCGTAATCTTTTGTCCGTCTACCGTTTCAGCCACCGCGGCGATAGCGAGTACCGTGCAGATCGAGTGTGCGAGCGAGTCGATAATCGTCCAAATCTCGACGGAGGGTAACACGGACTTCCACGGTCTGGTCTATCCGCGCGGGCTCTCGAAGAACAGCTCCTGCCTGCAGGAGTACAGGAGTCAGCCCACGCCGATCACCTACAATCTGCCTCTCAGGTCCTGCAACACTATGCCTACCGAGCTGGTGAGTCTTTGCTCTCTTTCTCTCGCTCTCTCTCTCGAGCAACATCCAACTTGCTTGCCTCGCTCCAACTAATCTCGAGCCTCTTCCTTCTTTCTTCCTTCCTTCCTTCCTTCCTTCCTTCCTTCCTTCCTTCCTTCCTTCCTTCCTTCCTTCCTTCCTTCCTTCCTTCCTTCCTTCCTTCCTTCCTTCCTTCCTTCCTTCCTTCCTTCCTTCCTTCCTTCCTTCCTTCCTTCCTTCCTCGTTATTGATGTATTCTCGACACGCACGTCGTGCCGTTCGTAGCCGTCGTAGCACGTTCGTGCACCAAGCACTTTCCCAAAGTGCTCGAAACAATCGAGCGTTGTTGCTCGTTATCCTTAATCAATGCCGTGGAATTATCGCGGGGGGCCACCGTTATTACATTATTGCATCACCGGCATCACTCTGCCGCCTTCGGCCGATCGTTTTAATTCGGTTTATCGCCTCCGCCGATTAGCCCCGCTACCGGGTAATTTGCCCACATCGGCAGCGGTAATCACGATCCCCTCCACCTCGTTCGCGGCCGCGCGGCGCGGCGCGGCGCGACTCGAAATGATCCGAAAGGAGAAACGATATCTGGCTATAATCTTCGCTCGATCCGCGCACCTGACTGGAGAGCAACCCGACTAGAAATTTTCATCAGGTTCATCTAACCTAATTGATAGGGACCTAATAGAGTGAATGAAAGGTAATCCTAAGTGAGTCGGCCCTTATAATGTCCTATATCGACAAATGAGTAAGGAAAACCTTAATGTACCAACCTGGTGTATGATATAATATTCAGTTCAGTTCCTAATCAGGTCCTTGTCGGGATCTGGATTCATTGGGACCTGATTCATCAGGTACATGAAATACGATTTGCATTATCAAGTTTTAACAAAACAATTTTTGGATGTCGTTTCCAAATATAAAGATGTTTGCATTGAAAAGACACTTCGGATCACTTCGAATATATTTGTAAAATGCTACAGGAACTATTTCTTTTTTAGCAGTCAAGAAATAGTTGTAAAATTTACGTGACATGCAACTTTTCTCTTTAACGCTACTTTATGTCTTGTCACCTTGCGGATACTTAATGATCTTATGATATGATTCATTTTATGTTTCTTTTCCGAAACATTTTACAAGTATATACTCGAGCGATCTAAAATATGCAAATTTCATGCAAATATCTTTTTATTTGGAAATGAGATGAAAGAATTCTCAGCGTGTCATTTCTTATTTCTAATGTCATCATCCAATATAGCCATGGTGAGTGATCAGGAGTAATCATAATTTGAAAAAAAAGACAAAAAACGTAACTTAAGGATTCCACAAGGACCTGACTCCTTACTGAGATGAATCCTTACTGAGGATTCCTGATATCCACGCTGCGTTATATGATATTTACTAAGACCCGATAGTGTTGCCTTATCGGGACCTGATGTCCAAATGCGGTTAACCTGATCAGGACCATGGGATAAATTTGTAGTAAAAGCGGCCCGTTCCGTTTGCCCGTTTGCGTCATTCCGACGCACCTGATCCTCTCGCGGAGTCGCGCTCGTTGCGCACATTGTGCACTTGCGCCGCTCCGCTCGCCAATGGGCCAATTGTATTTATTACTTCGTGCGCTTCGTGTGACGAAGTCACACGGTGATTCCCCCTCGGACAATGCTTTAGACCTTTAGACACGCGCGACACGTCGCGTAAACGTCGTAATGCGGGTGTGTCCCGCTGTGAGGGAGAGGACGTTGAGAGGGAGAAATTGACGGGAAACAACTCGCGAGGGACGAAGCGATTAATCTCGCCGAGATTACGGTGATTTGACTTAATTGCAGTCGCCACAGCTACAGCTCAGCTATATTTACAGCACAGCAGTATTTCGTTGTTCTGACGAAAAAAAGGACTCGCAGCACTCGCTTGGAGTAGGATAATTATTTCAGCGTGCAATTATAATCATCAATACCCAAGCACTGCTATAGTTCTCTCTCTGACGGTGCGATAACTGCCGACGATAATCCGCCGCGCGTTAAAAATAGTCGTCGATCGAGCGGATAAGCGAGCTCAAACTCGAAGCAAGAGACGCTCCAAGGATATCTCCTGAGGAAGGAAGTCCTAATGCGTGTGGCCGCGAGTGCAATCGTATACAATAACAGTACGGCCGTACGGCATCGTCGTAACAGTCACGCTAATAAGAGCAATTAGCATTTGCCTAATGTTATCGCGGTCTATTGTTATTGCATCATTATGTCATTACTATTATTATTACCATCGACGGCCGCCGCAGTGTACACACAAATAGGGAAGAACGTGCTCGTTTGCGGTCGAATATCTCGACACGTATCGCGGTCGCTCTAACGATCGCGATACGTTTGTACGTTTGTACGCGATTGGCGATAAGCGAGGGAAGAAAAGGAGGCGGAAAGGGGAGGAAAAAAGGGAGAAAATATCGCGAGGCGCGCGCGCGCGCCCGAGGAGAGTAAATCGCTCGGATGAGGAGCGAGGCAGGCCGGCCGCGGCCGCGGCCGCGGCGGAGAATAAGTGCGAGGTGGTGGACGGAAACACGCTGGTGATGGTGGTGGTCGGTGTTGTTGGTGGAGGACACACACGTTCGTGTAACGAGGGAATCGTGTGTCGAGGCGAGAGATCGCTTCCTCGCCATACCATAACTGGACCGTTATGTGACCGGACTTACGGTCTTCGTCTCGGGAGCGTCTCGGGAGAGGGAGGAGGAGAGAAAGACAGGATACGTACACGGTGTTCGGAAAGTATCGCGTGTCCCTTTAATCGCGGCCTCTCCGGCTGATTTGAAGGCGGCGCGGCGGCCTTTCCTCCAATGCGGCAATGTCGCGAGGAAGACCGTCGTCCGTCGCGATTGATTCTGACCTTTGGCCGTTGCGCATCTCTCTTCTCTTCTCTTCTCTATCGTTTCCGCGCGCGCGCGCGCGCGCGGCGAACTTTCAATTTGTACCTTCGTTGAGGTTAGGAAATTCATCCATTATCCGAGGAATACAACTTGCTTGCAATTTGCGTCGGCGCTCGTTTCCCTCGTCTGCTCGTTAATTATTCGGAGATGTATCACGAGAGGGATCTCTGTCTCGATCTCGAAGAGATCGAAATGTTCGAGATCTGTAATAATAATTTTGAATCACTCCGTGTGTAGTGCCTGGCGCTGAGTCTTATTACATCGTGCATGTATATGTACGTGCAAGAACCGCGCTTGTGTCTCTTTAACGGACCGTTGCTCGGTCCGTTTTCTTTCATCAACCGATAATGAACCCGGTGAGTATCGCGATGCCAAGTATCCGACGAGCCGAGATGATCGCTTGCGATATCGCGCTCCGTGACGCACTCGAATTTACAATCTATTCATTATCGAGATAATGTATCCTAATGATGAACTCGGAACATTGGCGTGTATGTACAATGAAACAGTAATCCCGGAATATAAGTATACTATATAGGATTAAATTGATTTCCGCGAGACACGAGATTAAGAGCCACAGTTATTATCGAAAACGTGACAGACTATTCACGTTGAATTTCTCGCCTGACCGACTGACCGATTCGCTCATGTGACTTATTACTTTCGATTTCCCGTATTTAACGCAGCAGCGTATTTCACTGCAGCTGCGAGGTGATTTTCATCGATTGAGCAATTCTTCAACTTGGAGCTTGAATTCACCAAATACGCGCGGCAAATGAACGCAATTCGCGATCGCATCGCTGCTCATCTCGTCTCATCTCGATCATCTCCATCAGTCATGTATCGACTTTGTTACGTTCCGTTGCTGCTCAAAATCAAAACAATTTGTATTTTATCGCGCATAAAATACAACACCGTTGTCACACTGTCGTGGCAACCGTGACGTGTTAACGGCCCCAAGCTCGTAAAAAGCGACTCACGACTCGCTTACGTTCGTTATCCGCGTTACGCCTCGAGTCGACACGCACACAGATTCGCCGTCGTGGGACGCAAAAGATGGCGCGCGCTAGATTTCTAATCGCCCCGCGATTAGCCCTTCGGGCTGTGTGGCGAAGATTCGCCACACGCGGCCACAAATTGGCGGCGTGCGTTTACGTTTTACGAGCCGCCTACGGAAATATAATCAACGGGCGTGATGACTCGGACCGTGAATCACATTCGGCCGGCATGAGCGACACGACACGTTCGTCGACGGGAGAGGAAACCTAGGAACCTAGGATGTGCCTCGCCGCGCGCGCGGTCGCTTTGCTCTCTGCTCTTTGCGCGATGTAAATGCAGAATATACGCGCGTCGACTCCTTAACGGATCGTTCGCTCCTTCGATTGCTCGATAATAACGCCGGGGGATCCCGAGGCGATGCAAAACACCCGCCGCCGCCGCCGCCTTGCCGATGATGAAGAAGCGCGTTCAGTGGCCACGGATAATCGCGACGACTATGAGCGAGTGTCGCTCGCCACCGATCGAACTACATCGATGCTGCCAGATCCTATGATGATGCGTATTCGTTGAACGCAGCGATTCGTAAACGTCGCAATCGTGTGTGAAGATGGTACGTATTGATCGTCGCGTTTCGAGCGAAGCGAAAGCACCGAGCACACATTCTCGTTTCGCAAAGGGAACATGCGAAGGGAACGCATCCCCCCTCTCTCTCTCTCTCTCTCTCTCTCTCTCTCTCTCTCTCTCTCTCTCTCTCTCTCTATCTCTATGTTTTCTCATATGAAAATTGTTTGTGAGCAAATATTTTTAATATCGCCAGATACACAACGTCCAGCGTCTCCCATAGGAGTCCCTATTAATGATTTAAACTAACTATTACTCGGACGAGCCTCCACGATTTGCCTTGCGCGGCGAGTCGCGGCTCTTTTTCATTCACCGTATCGACAGCCGTCACCGACTCATCGTCATCTGGGGGGGCGCATGACCTCGCAAGGGCAGCGAAGGTGCTGGACGATGGATTCCCTCGCGAGCGAGAGACTGGTTCTCTCTCTCTCTCTCTCTCTCTCTCTCTCTCTCAACA